TCTCTCTCTCTCTCTCTCTCTCTCTCTCTCTCTCTCTCTCTCTCTCTCTCATGCAATCGGTGTTCTGCAGCCATGGTGTGGCTGGCTTCTCTTTTGCCTTATCATAGTACGCATTTGAGCCTCAATTTGCTGAAGATCATAGGTAGGCATTTGGACAATATTTGAGTTGAAGTTGCAAAGTTCTTTTAAATGCAGACTTGTGAGGTCCCTTCGGTTAAAAGCTCTTATCTAAGCGAATTCCCGTTATTAGATTAGCCCAGAAATGGCGAGAATGAGGCAACAGATTATGGGATTTCTTTCAAGGGTGGTTGCCCCTCTCTGCTTTGTCTATGATACTCCACTTTTCAAAAAACCAGCAGCCCTTTAAAATGATAGAGAGAAAGAGAATATACTTCCGTTTCTGGGTTTCTTTGCATTCTTTGCACCCTTCAAGTATACTCAAACCCCAGTACCCAACTACACTGTAACAACTATGCAACCTTCAGATCTTCCGTCTGTCTCCTTCATGGCTTTGAAAACTCTTAAAAGAGGCAGTGATGATGCTTTTTCATTTATCTGGGCTAACTGAGTCGGGCATGGAAATTACCCGACCTGTATCTTGGCGTGGCAACCCGGCATGGCATGTGATTGAGATCCTCTCTCTCACATGCAACCGGTGTTTTGCAGCCATGGCGTAGTTGGGTTTGCTTTTGCTATATCATAGCACATATCTGAGCCTCAATTTGCTAAAGAAAATATACCTTTTCCATGTATCGATGCAGGAGATATCAAACCCTCATCTTTTTTATTAGAAGTTATAATGCTTTTCACTCGTTATGTTTCACCATTTTTTTATCTGTACCAGCTCAAGAATGAGGCATTAAAGTGAAATTTGGGATTTTGTAACTGTGGTTGCCCTCCTCCAGTAAGCCCATTTTCTGAATTGGGGATTCTTCAGCTTTGTGTGTTAGACTGATGTGATGACCAACTAGACCACCATACCATTTCAGCTCAAAGAATGAGGCTGAGAGAGATGATTCTTAGAGTGGATGACCATCTCTGACATGTCGATGATTTCTTTTTTGCTTTAAACTAGACAACCTTTTGTGCATATGCATGTTTCTTGTGTATATGTAGGTATTGGGCTATGTTTCGTTTGTCTTAATTTCGTCCTGACTCACTATGTTGCGATGCAATGCCAGCAAAGTAACACGTCCATATAATCGAAAAGGGGAAACAATAGGGCTATGATGATCATGCTTATTGAGCTAATTGAATTTGGGCATTGGAGCTTTGCTGCCTGTATCTTGGTCGGGCAACTTGAATTTCTGGGGTTTGCAGCCATGGCAGGTGCAGAGAACTCAATGCCCCACATAATCTGAGCCTCCAGTTTAACAGAAGCCTTAGCATCATTCCCCATTATCAATGAGACCAACAGGGGAGAAAGGGACTTATTTGAGGGTGGTTGCCTCCTCTTGCTCCTGGCCTGTGATTTCTCTATAAGCAAAATCAACAGCCCTCTTCTAGTCCTCTTAACAGCAGCAGCAACAGTACTACTTGGACCTTGTTCTGATTTATGAGCTTAGTTCAAAACACCCTAAATTCCTCGAAACCTATGCTACCATTTTCTCAAAGAGGCAGTGATGATATTTGCTTATCTGGGCAAAAAAATTATTCCTGCATTGAGACAAGCAGATCCGTATCTGGCTTGGCAAACCCTGAATGGTATGTGATTTGAGGCTTCTCTATCACATGCAACTGGTTCTTTTGCAGCCACAGTTGGTCTCCTCCTCTTTGCCGAATTAGTAATCCAACTCTGAGCCTTAAAATTTCAGTTTGTCCTCCCGGACATTGTTTGATGGATAACCTTTTTTTATTTTATTTTCAAAGCCTACTCAGAAATGAGGCATCAATGAGACATGGGGATTATTTATTTATTTATTGATTTCTTCATTTGTTTAGTTTTGCTGGTAAGGCCAAGATTTCTTGCTGGAAGAGATTAACAGTTCGTTTGCTCTTTTCTGCAACTCTAGCTTCAGAAGATGCACGTTGTTGATTTTTTGCTGCTACTGCTACTGATTCTCTTGTCTTGCTGCGGCGTGGCTGCATTAACACCTTAACAGCGAGAATCATACTAGAAATAAAGAAAAAGGTGAAAAATTGAGGCAGCGCTGATATGGTTTGGCAAATAGCATTATTAATTTGCATTGAGATGATACAAGACTCAGTATCTTGACGGGCAATCTGGAGAAGGTTGCAGCCAATAATAGAGAGATCTGAACCTGGTATTAAGCATTACTAGTAGTTTCCAATTCCTTTTTTTGGTTATTGTTTCTCTTTTTCCAATATTGCTAAGAGAGTTGCAATTCTTTTGACATATTTTCCGCGTCTTTGTAAGTAGTGCTCGTTTTTTTAAAAACAAAAATTCTGTTCTAAAAGAGGCAAGAGATGTGGAAATACAGCGATTATGCATCACTCTCCTGCCAATGGATGCCAGATTTTTGTTTTCATGCCCATATTTTTCAATTTCATAGTATTAGAGAACATTTGCTTTCTGAAGCTTAGACCCTTACAAAAAACTATGGAGATAATCCCATACAAATGCTTGATTTTCACTGCAGAAACCTATCTGATAATACAAACTTTATAAGCCTACTTGTGTGGAGTGTCATGTTATTTTATGGTTTTTGCATAGATCCATTTCTATTGATTACTCTATTAACAATGTTTATCTGCTTTTTTGGTTCTTGCCGTCTCTTGGAATGTTGTTTCTGTTGGAACTCGCTTGTTCAGCCATTTTTTATTTGGAAAGAAATAAAAACAAAAAGGAAAGAAATTGCTCTTAACTGTTTTCATTAATAATTATAATTATAATATTTTTTAATTTTTAGAACTGTGAGACCATATGTTTAGTTGAAAAATATGGTGGATAAAATCTAATGTTTCAGATTTATTCTTGAATGAAAAATCTAGCGGCAAATAATCTTCTAAGCATACATGACGGAATGAGAACCAGCCTGCACGTTGATTGATGGAACGGTGTGCAAATTATCAAAGAAAGTGTTTTTATCATTAAGATTTCGAATTCTTAAATCTTAACTATTATCTATCTATTATATTAGAAACATGAATTTGCTTTTTTTACCTTTGAATTTTTGGTTTTATATTAGAGAAAATAGTCATTTAATTCTTTATTATTTTTGTTAATATTTGGAATTTCGAAATCAATTAAATCTTGCATATTAGATCTTTCCTTGGTTCAACTATGTAATATAACAAAAAAGCTTACTCCGATATTAATGACACAGGAAATCACCATTATTTCTATAAACAATTCTTATTGATCGAGCAGTTTTCCTTTCTTTTTAGGTTTAGGCGCTATTTTTTCTGTCTTATATGTTACATAGCTATAATTAGTTTTACTAAATATTAGAAAGGATTTTAAAGTTAATGTTATAAAATAAAGTGAATGTATATGGATGTTCATTTAATCCATCCATACATTTTTTTCAATGTACTACTTGGATAGATGTATCTATTAATTCCTAGGATGTCTAGTGAACTTTAGGTGTATCTTTGTATACTATAAAAGTACATTCTTGTCCATGGAAGAACACGCAAGAAACACACTTAAATGGGATAACTTCTACATTCTCTTTCTATATATCTTATCTCCATTATTATATTGTTCTATTTTGCTCTTATTTCTTAATATGTTATCAGCACGAAGTTCTAACCAACTGAGGTTGTCTGCTTCATCCGAATTTTATCTTCTTCCTAAAAGAGCTAGTCAATTTCTTTTCGGATTCAGGTATACATTCCTATGTTTATAATGTTTCTATTAGGATCTTCTTTAACCTGCAATTT